GGTCCGGCAATTCCCACTGCGATCTGGCACTTGCGGTTGAGGTCCGGTAGTGCCCACTGGAATCTGGCGCTTGCTGTTGAAGTCTGGTAGTGCCCACTGCGACGTGGCACTTGCTGTTGAGGTCTGGTAGTGCCCACTGCGATCTGGCACTTGCTGTTGAGGTCCGGTAGTCCACTGCGACGTGGCACTTGCTGTTGAGGTCTGGTAGTGCCCACTGCGATCTGGCACTTGCTGTTGAGGTCCGGTAGTCCACTGCGACGTGGCACTTGCTCTTGAGGTCTGGTAGTGCCCACTGCGATCTGGCTGTTGAGGTCCGGTAGTCCACTGCGATCTGGCACTTGGAGTTGAGGTCTGACACTGCCCACTGCGATCTGGCGCTTGCAGGAGGAGGAGGAGGAGGAGGAGGAGGGCTCTGAAAGCCCTGACAATCTTTATGTGCAGACCTCCACCCAAGTTCTTTGTCGCACTTGCAGTGCACCTCATCGTAGCCAACACTTGCAGGTTGGTGTGCGCGTGTGTTTGCTTGGTTGTTTGTTTGTTTGCTTGTTCGTATGTGGGTGTGCGGGCCTGCGGGCCTGCATGATCTTTGCAGAGAGTCGCGTTTGGTGAGCCCCGCCATAACACCCTGCCGCTGTAAGAGAAGTACTGTAGTGTAAAGAATGTCGAAGTTGTGGGCGACTTGTGGAAACTTTTTGCATCTGTACTTTTACATCTCTGTTATCAATTTATACACCTGCATTTTTACACCTGTAGTTATACAACTGCATTTCTACGCCTGCTCGACCTGCATTTGTACACCTGTGATTTTTATACCGTACACACCTTGATAAACACCTGTATTTCTTTCAGCACACACACACACCTATGTTTACACAGCTTCATACACATCTGTATCTACACATGGTGATGGCAATGATGCAGTGTGTGTTCTTGATGTTTTCTGGAAACTTTGTTCTCGCAGGTGACCCTCCTACATCTCTGAACCTATATCATGATGTAGTTGGACAACCACTGCCTCACGATAAGTGGCAAAGAAAGGTGATGCCAAAAGGTTCCACATACTATTTTGAAGGTCCGATTTTTTCTGCAGTTTCGTGTGCCTGATGTGAGCAAAGCGTGTATTCGCGATATTCGAACAACATTTGCAATGCATGTGGTTTCAATTTTCGGTGAACTCTATTTGCATGTTCAGGATCTCACCTCGATCGGGTCGTAGCCCTGCACGAACATTGGAGCCAGGAAGGCAGCTGACGGGTGCGACCGCGCGTTCCTGTATCCAAAGAACACAAATTCAAAACATCACAAAACCGAATAGATGAGTCAGATTGGTATTTTACTGCTCTGACCTGATCAGGGATGCAAGCCCAAATGGCCACGGCGACTGGCGTATCCCTTGGCGAGCATTGTTCATGGTGCCCACTCTGTTCCAATGCACGGCTGTTGAATCTAGTCGAGTCTCCTGACAGTGACAGGGCAGTCTTTGCTCTTGTTACTCTTGTTGGAATAACCAAGCATGCCTCAAGGGAGCACATGTCCGTGACTTTTCTTGAGGCTCAATGACACCTTGGAATCTATAGGGCTGTGATGCAGCAAGCTCAGTGGTCCAAACTTGCGCGCCGATAGATTTGGGAAACGTGGAGCGATGGGAAAGTAGGCATTTGGAGCGCCGGCTGGGACGGATTTGTGCCATTGGTTTACCAAGATATATAACCTTTCGGAAGTTGACAAATATGTTCAAGTCATATCAGAGGCCCACTTGCTTCCAGTGCGGAGTGCAGGCACTGAGCAAGATAGGTTCTCAATTAGGTACCCTTTTTTGTACACCGGAAGATTGAAGCTGCCGCTAGATCTTGGAAGCTTTTACACCTACCAGGTGTGTTTGGGTCACATAGTCGTGGTACTGCCTGGCATGTGTCTCAAAATACTTTCTCCGCATGGTTAGTTCATGTTGGCACAGGGTTCTTTGATTTGCCTGAACTGTCCCAAACCTGCCGGTAGGCCAGTGTTTACTGCACTTCGGTGGTATCGCTGCATATGCCCAAAACTGGGTTTGCTTCGTGCGATACTGAATTGCCACCATTTCCGCAGCAAAGCTCTGCAAGCGCTCCTTTGTTGAGAGAACACATGGTAAAACTCTACAAAGCCCATCAGAGCAAGCGCGGTGCCTTGGCAGTTCTTGAGTTGCAACGTGTAATTTAGCACATGTGGTCGGAGTGCTTTGCTCAAGGTTAGCAAGGATTTATATATTCAGACTGCAGAACCAACAAGACTGGCTTCCAAACTTTCACCAAAAAACTCTTGTGGGTGTCAACTTGTTAGTAGAATTAGAAAAGCATGAGCCCTCGCTCTTTCTCTCTCGTGCCTGAGACAATCATTCTCAAGCGGTCCTGAGAGACAAGTCACGAGTTTGCTGTTTAGAAGGTCCATCGACATTTCAGGCAAGGGCCCTTGGAATTCTTTGTCACTCTTACTCTCTGGCTCGGGCTGGCCAGCGGCGTGGGGCAGAAAGAACGTTCAAAATATCACAACTCGTGGCCAGCATGGACCCATATATTACTGTACCCAATAAAGAAAACTCCTTGGTGCCAAGTGCCGCACTCTGAATTTGTTTTTAGACCGTTATTGTGAGTGAATTTCCAGTTGCCAAACTAAACCCCGAATCGTTAGCATCAAAGAAGCCTGTGGAAGAGCGGTCTAACCGATTCCGTTTTGCTGCTTGACATATTTGCCAGGTGGGCATGGAAGAGGAAGAACAAAAGTTAGTCAAAGCCCAAGAAGGGGGCTTGCCAGTGCTACACAGCGATGGACGAGGTTGCTGTATAGTGCATCGGTACGATATGATACACGGAAGATAGACATCGCATACACATGCGATACACACGCGATTAAGTTTCTCCAAAAATCTAATCATTAGTGCGAGCGCTTCTTCAAGGAAACTCCCCCCGCCTGTGAAGCGTGAACTATCCTGAGTCCAGTTACTGTACTAGAAGCGTCTCAGGAGCTAGTAGCTACCTCTCCCTGCTAGCTTAGCTACCTTGACCTCGGCCTACCCCCCCGGGCTTAAAAAGTATGGTGACCACGGTTAGACCAATGAATCTGCACTGAGCAGGTCATCGGCATAGACTTAGGAACAGCTGACTCTTGTGCAAGGGCCTGAGAACAGTTTACCCTCGAAGACTGCATTGAACTTTAAGTTGTGCTTTAAGTTTAACTGCGTTTACTCAGTGTACTCTTTGTTCGTTTAGATTTTTTAGTTGTTTCGCTTTCTTATGTCCAATGCATTCAACGCTTGGATGGTTGATCAGCATTTGAGGTTTCATACATTCGAGGAGGAGCCATTGAAGTAGTTCAAAATGAGGCTGTGCTGTATTCGTGTTTTCAGTGGTGGCCAGCTGCTGGGAAGCTCCAAAGCAGACCTTGGTGCCGAACATGAAGAGCAACAACTGAGATTCAAAGCTCAGCAGATGAACACACGCAAGTACCCGTACCCACTTCCCAGCTTGACCATGTTGGGCGGCACTGGTCAGCCAGATGAAAAGGAGTATGTCTATTTCAGCCCTTGTCGCCTTACATGTCAAAAGTTTACAATCATCGGATCACACCATGAAATTCTGACAGTTGAATCTGTAAAGGTGAATGAGCGGAAAACACCAAGCCTGGCTTGAATCTCAGAAGGGTTCCTTTACATAGGCTCTTCGCTCTCCTACATGCGATGCACTGCATAGTTGCGCGTCAGAACCAAGACTTCCCTTTCACCTGGAGCGGACGCCTATATGAACAACTCAACGGGTTGCAACCAATATCTTAATATTTAGACTCAATTAGACATATATGTATATACTGTGTATATATATATATATTCACGTCGCTTCGTGACGGTAACCGCCCGCACCGGAGGGGAGAGGACAATACATCCAGCGAGTCCCAGAAGGAAGTCCGAGGTGCTTGTGCTCTTGGAGCCAAGGGAGTGAGCATAGCGTCCATACGGCTCTCCCTTAACGTGGCCGAACATAGCTTCCATATGCAAAGATAAGGTCCAACTGGAGCAGAGAGAAGCAGAGTCATCAGGGGAAGGGATGACGTGGTATTCGATGGTTCAAGGGCCTTTTTAAGTAATTGTGGCTGCTGAAGGGCCGCCACCCTGGAGGTATCACGATGGGACGGTTGACCTTGGCAATGTCCTCTCCTTTTCAAACAAGCCTGGGCTCAAAGACCGCAGCCATTTAGGGACCGATGCTGCAGAGCCGGTTAAGGATCTGTAGGCGGGAGGTGTTTGCAGTATGAAACGAACATGGCAGATGATGACATGGTGATCCAGGTAGGGTTCGCTGTCCTTCTCAAACAAGCTTGGGCTCAAAGACTGCAGCCAGCGCAGACGCGTCCTTTCGGTAGTAACTTCTAGATCTCTGTTAGGCAATCCACGCCCTTTGGAGCCTTCGTGAGACCATGTTTACGACGTTCAAGTACCTATCTCGAAGAAGCGTACTTGAGAGTGTTCGACCATATGGGAGATCTACTCGGGAGATAGTATTGTCGTTCCTGAACCTGACCTGCTTATCTCTGCTCCTGACCACCCACGTA